TGGTTTCCAGAAGTTCCCTGCACTGTCCCTTTTGTCACCACCCAGTTTTTGAACCTACACTAAGGCAATTCTTTCTCTTTTTTTAGTTAAATATCCTTGTTAAAGTAAAATATTGATACAAATGTTACAAAACTTTCTAAAACAGCTCCTAGTTATTAGGGAAAACTACAAAAAAAATCAAGAACTTAATGAGGCACTAAAAAGAGGGTGGGGAGAACTCATAAGCTCAAGACATGAGGCTTCCAGCACAAGCAATTAAATCTGCTATGCAGACTTCAGCGTTCAGAAAGAACCTGAATTTCAGCTCTTTCTCCAAACATGCCAAAGGCTACATCTCTGAGCAGGATGTGCTGGTGAATTCCACAAGCGGAAAACTTAAATGGTACGTTACCTTGAAAAGGAACAACAAAATGCAGAAAGAAATTGGGTTTGCTGGTGCAGATGCCAAATGTGAACTGATCTTTTCAGCTGGATATCTAATTTAACTAGGACCCATTCTCTGAGTGACACATGTGGTGGTATTCCTGTACTGCAGGAATTGTTTCACACAGAGCTTTCCCTTTATCATCTCAGCATATCCTATGCAATAGACCTGTCGTTCTGATTTTATAGCATTTTCAGGGTAAGATGCAGTGCCTGTGCTATTCACTAAGAATACAGCAATGGAGTGGAAGAATTGTTAAGACACAAGAATTCTTGTGTCTTAAAAAATACGGAAGTTCAGATGCTTTCACTTTGAGGGTTGTGCAACTGCCCTGTTTAATAAATGAAAATAAAATCCCAAATTCTCTGTTTTCTTCTGTCAGGTTTTAAGTTTCCTAGTCACTTTCACTGATTTCTCTTGCTACATGTTGCAAGAACATAATTTGAAATGATTTCCGTGTTTTCCAAGTTTTGTGTTCACTTTGTGAATGAGGCTGGTGAGAAGCAAGATTGCATGAATGAGGGGAGGGACATGTACAGCATACAAAAGAACTGAGCGCCTGGTTTCATGTATGAGGAAATACTGCTCAGATTTTTTTTTCTTATAAGACTGTACGATAGTTTCCAGGACCCTATTAGTAACACAGGAAGCAAAATGTGGATTTTTTTTAGTTTTCCAATTGAAAATAAAGTGGTAAGTTCTTGTGTGTTCTCCATTTTGAAGGTCTAATATTCTTGGTGATCAACTCAAAGGGTTTTGCTGAACCTGCTTTTATAGAGACGAGAGGAAGTGTCTAATAAGAAGCAGTCTATGAAACTGTGGGGAAGAGATGGTTCTGGGTATTTAGATCGGATGGTTGTACATTAACACACTGCCTTGGTAGGTAAGAGCTCTCGCCTTTGCTGAGGCCGATGGAATGAGATTCATGCCAAAACAGTGTGACACAGAGTACAGTTGGATTCTAAACAAAGGTTCTGGTTTGTAATCTGCTGGCATCCTCAAAGAATAAAGGAAGCCCAGAAGATGATGAGGAAATGGAAGTCAATCTCTATAGATTTAAGGTAGACAGACAAACTCATTATTGGCCAGTATAGTGAGAACCTGGGACAGATCTATTAACATTGGAAAAACAGGTCCAGGACTGGAAACAAGGGTGTCCTGTGAAAGGAAAGAACTCTTAGGCATTATTACTGACATATCTCTGAACTAGTGCTTTTTCAGCTATTGATTTCAAAGCACTTTACAAAGGAGAAAAGTATCATCTTTATACCCATTTTACAGATAAGGGAACTGAGAAAAAGAGAAAAGTGATTTGCATGTGGTCACCCAGCAGGCCAGTGGCAGATCTGCAAACAACTCAGGTCTCCAGAGTCCTGCTCCAATGCTCTATCCACTAGGCAACACCGCCTCTCAGCACAGTATAAAAATCAAATGAGCCATATTCAGAATCCCAGGTATCAGCCTTCTCAGTGTGAAGATTAAAATATACATCAGAGGGGATTAAAATGATACAAGTGGCTGTAGGAGCAGAGATGAAGAAATATTGACCAGCTAGGATAGAAAGACCTTTTTAATGATCCAGTTCTGTGCAAACCATTTCACTATAAGCAGGTTCCACTCTGTTTATGTGGGAGAAGTGCATTTATAGTGTTTTAAGGAGATTAATCAATTTGTACAGTGATCTGTTCGCAGCATAGAACATTCTGGATACTAGGGGTCTGATTGGTGTGGGATTTGTGTATAAGTCCAATAAGTCTAATAACTGTTGTAATTTAAAGAGACTTTGGCTGTTGCTGTCTGTGGTGACAATTGTGGACTATTGGCATAATTACTGAGATCATTACGGAGAAGAAAACCACCTACACTCTGGATCAACTGAAAATTATCATCAAAATGTGGCTAAGGGGGAACCTGAAGAGGAATTAACTACAAAGAGGCAGCCCATGAAAGAATCAGTGGGTCTGGGAGAGAGTAAAAGGGATGACCAGAGTGTAGGAAGACTAGGAAAGCATCTTAAATGATTTTTTCCACCAGTCTTCATCACCGAAAACAATGGGAAATGCCTTTTGCAGGATTTTTTTTTTCCAGGCAGTGAAGTTGAAGCAGCAATGGAGAAACTCAGCATGAATTACAATAAGTCACCTAGAGAGCTGCTGTTCACCTGTCAGTGCTGAAGGAATTAAAAGAACAAAAAGCGAAGCTTCCAAACAAAAGTAATCAAATCTATCATCCACTTAACCTGGAAAAGAGGATGAGCAGTGAGGCGATTTTCCAACATTATTCAGGTTAAAGAGCAGGCCCTATTATGAGGCACTCAAGAAGGACCTATTTCAGAGTAGCAGCCGTGTTAGTCTGTATCCGCAAAAAGAACAGGAGGACTTATGGCACCTTAGAGACTAACAAATTTAGTAGAGCATAAGCTTTCGTGGACTACAGCCCAGCCCACTTCTTCGGATGCATCCGAAGAAGTGGGCTG